GGGGGGGGGGCTTGAACTCTAGGCCTTTGTCCTGAGCCAGTCCACCAGCCCTGTTTTTGAGAAGGGTTTTTCGAGATAGGGTCTTGAGAACTGTTTGCCTGGACTGGCTTCAAACCATGATCCTCCTGATCTCTGCCTCCTGAGTAGCTAGGTTTACATGTGTGAGCCACTGGCACCCAGCTTTCCTTAGTCCTTTTTGCTTTGGTTGTTTTGGAGATGGGATCTCACTTTTTGCCCAGGCCAGCAACTACCATTATTCTCCTAGTTATTCCTGCCATAGGTAAGATGACAGTCACACAGTACCACACCACATTTTTTTTGCCTGGGCTGGCCTGGAACCTTGATCTTCACAATTTCAGCCTTTCAAATAGCTAGGATTACAGGTGTGAGTCACCAGTGCCCAGCTAGAAAGAAACTTCTTAAGTATTTACTTATTATAAAAATATCTTCTTATTTCACTCAGTTTTATCCAACCCCCCCAAAAAAAGTCCTCATCATAACTAAAATTTGGAAGATTCAGAAATGTAAAAATTAGACTAGATTCTAGTTACTCAACCAACCACTATAAATTTTGTTCTTGATTTCTAATTTTCTTCTATAAGCTCTTTACCTACTTGTAATATTCTGTATTATTTTCAGAGATTAATTTTCAAGTATTCTAACTCTTAGTTTATGTAAGTTGTACTTAAAAAGTCTAGTTACTTACAGATATGTCAAGGTTTTACAGAAAAGTATAGAATATGTACCAACTGTATTTTAAATCTTGTTTATGTAATGAGCCAATTCTTTTAAGCTTGTTTGTAGCAAATTGCATGAGGATATGATTCTGCCAATCTGTTTAAAATGGCTCTAACTATATTTAAATGCATATTCATGCCAAAGTTTTATCTTACTCTTTTTTCTTTTTGTTATAGGTAATCTGATGTCTTCCAGTGTCTCTGCTCTAGACACTGTTACTACAACAGCACTTGAATCTCTCGCATCTGTTCCAGAAAATGTGTTGGCTCGTGTTTCTCAGATTTCTAATATGATATTAGAAGAACAGTCATTAGCAGCACAAAGTAAAACTGTCCTGCAAAAACTGATTGTTAGTAACTCTCTTAAAATACTTTCAAAGGGTTACATTTGCTAAGTCATCAAAAACAGTGTTAATAACTGCTCTTAAGCTTTGCTAGACACAGTAACAGACATCACTATGAGAGAATATGTTTATATATATTTTAAAGACAAATCTCTCTACTATTTTGTTTTGCTTTGTTTTTTTCTCTCCCAGAAAGACTGGCCTCCAGATATATACAACTACTTTCAATCTTTTTTCACTTATAGTTGATATGGTTAAGAGTAGGAGTAAATAAACCTAATATCTAAAGAGTAGCTTTAGTGCCAAGGAATTCAGGGGACCCATGACTCATTTGTTGGTCTAGAAATTGTTAAGTCACCATTATTCCAATTGTCCTGGAATAGTCATGATACAGTAACCCAGCCAGAGGGGATAATGGGTAGTTAATTTTAAAACTACATAAATATGTGATAGTAATGCCATTGTGTGGTGATAATGGTAATATGTAATAGTAACGTAGGGAAAATAAGAAGTAGAATTCTAGGAGCATAAATGTAACAGTTCTTAGAGTTAGATCTGTGTGGACAAGCCCCACTGGGTCTTAACTCTAAAGCATTTCTCCACAGTTGTATAGAAGTCACTACTTATTTTACCTTCTTTGTGCAGGCTCTTTGCTTTCCTTTTGGAGGTTAATAGCATTTGTTTAACATGTTTTAATTAAATACTACAAATATTGGCTGACCCTCTTTCTAGATTCAGTACTTACATGATACTGCTTGATGTTTCTTCAGTCATCTCAATTTCACAAAATTAAAACATTCTGTCATTACTAACTTTTCAGAAATTGATTCACTTACTAAAACAATAGTCTTATTTATTCATGTCTTCCTACATAGCAAGTGAAAAACACTGCTTGGATCAAAAGAAAACATGACTGCTGCTCCCATAGAATTAGATGAAATTATTATGATAGTTCTTCGTTCCAAAAAAAATACCTACAGTCTTTTAAGTATTTGCTAATTTATTTCTGTTATAAATCCTGTATTATTTATTTCTGTTTTCTGTACCCTAGTGAAAAAGAGTTTAGGTCAGGAATTTTTTTTTAATTTTATAAGATTTACCAATCCACAGTCCATTTTCAATTTAGTATATAGCTGACTAGAATTGGCACATGTTCTGTACAATATACTGTAAGTCATGAGGTCTTCACAGTAATACCTCCAGCCAAAGCATACTCTTTTTGTTTGTTTTGAACTTGAGACTTCATTCTTGCAAAATAGGTGCTCTACCACTTGAGCCACACCTTCAGTCCATTTTGCTCTGGTTATCTTGAAGGTGAGGGTCTTGCTAACTATTTACCTGGGTTGGCCTCAAACCAAACAAAGATCCTTCTGAACTCAGCCTTATAAGTAGCTAGGATTCAGGTATGAGACACCAGCGCCCAGCACAAAACCTATTCTTTTTTTTCTTTTTGGCGGCACCAGGGCCTGAACCCAGGGCTTACACTTTGAGACACTCCATCAGCACTTTTTGTGTTAGGTATTTTCAAGATAGGGTTTCTCAAACGATTTTGCTGGCCTGGCTTTGAACCGCAATCCTCCTGTTCTCTGCCTCCTGAGTAGCTAGGATTATAGGCATGAGCCACTGGGGGTCCGGCAAAGCCTACTCTTGATGAGTGTTTGAACTCAACCTTTTTGGACAGTAACCTAAATTTGCTTGGAAGTTATTTTGTTAAAATGTACCTATGCTGAGGATCAAACCAGAGTGTTGAAATCTTAATTGATTGTCATTTCCTCTTGTTTTGAATTCTTCTGACTTTTGTTTCATTAGACTGCTAAGAATTTACTGTACACTAAACGAACATTGTCTTAATTACTGGAGGCAGGACTAAATGATTTATGCTGAATATAAACTCTAGATGTGCAACTATCTCTGTAGGTTATAAAGAACAGGGAAGGTTAATTTAGAATTTGAATGTGCTTCTTTCCTTGCTGAAGTCATTAATATAGTTTAACCAGCCAGGTTTATGGAAATTAAAATATTCTTTTTAAAGATCTGTTTGTTTATTTTGGAAACCAGAATGAACTTACATCTGGCCTTCTAAGTTCTCTGGAAACAATTTTATCCCCCACTGTGGTGTCCATACTGAAAGTCAATAGACAGCTGCAACATATTTTTAAGACTTCATGGATGATAGCTGAAAAGGTAACAAATGTTTTGTTCTTAATCTCTTAAAATTATTGTGTTGTTTAAGAAAGATACTAATTTTTTTTTCTTCAAAGATAGAAGATCAGAAAAAAGAAATAGATGACTTTCTGAGTATATTGTGCAACCATCTAAATGAACTACGAGAAAATACAGTGTCTTCCTTGGTTGAATCACAAAACCTTTGTGAAAGCTTAAGTGAAGACTTGAAGACAGTAAAGAAAACCCACTCACAGGTATCTTGTTTGGCTGACATGGGAGTATAAAAATTGTAAAATATGGCTTAGTAATCTATGTCACATATCCGAATGTTGTACAACTAATTTAGAGTCCTGAAAATACCACAACCACTGTTGCTGATAACAGTAATTAATATGATTAAGAATGCTTCTTTTGACCAGTTAGTATTTTAGAATTTGCTGAATGTAGAACCCTATCCTGAAGCACATTAGGACTAACAAACACTCTTCCTCATACCAAGGTAAGAGGTGAGTGAGAAACACACCTTTAGAGGAAAATGGTTATAACATTTAACATGACCCTCATGTTATTTTCTTCTAAGATGACATGGATACTTAGTGTCTTTGATAAACTAAATCCTATTTTTTCTTATTACTTCTGTATCATTGATAACAGACGCTTAAATTCTAGTGAGCTAGTATAATTATTAGCTTCTATCACTTGATTGTAAATGTAATCCATGACTTAATCTTCCTCTGTGCAAACCATTCCTCAGTATATAAGGCTTCAAACCAAAGCAAAGCTTTCAAACCATCATGCATAATAGCAGATAGATGGAAGACAGCATCTATTATTCTAGACTAGAGTAATAATAAACACTTAAAATTTTACCAAATGACCTATTACAATAGGATGGCATTCTTTTGTCAATAAAACTGTAAGATTTTTGTGAGAGCCAGGTGCTGGTGGCTCAAACCTCTAATCCTACCTATTAGCTACTTAGGAGGTAGAGATCAGGAGGATGGCAATTCGAAGCCAGGCACAGGCACAGTTCACAAGCCCCTATCTCAAAAATACCCAACATAAAACAGGACTGGAGAAATGGTTCAAGTGGTAGAACACCTGCCTAACAAGTGTTCAAACCCCAGTACTGCCAAAAAAATAAAAATAAGATTTTGTGAGGAAAAAATTCTTTCTTTTTGGAAAGTGAGGGAGAAGGAATTCATATTCATGTCTGAGAAAGGAAAGAGAGAAACACATTCAAAGTTTTTAGGTATGAAGTAAAACAACTTTAAGAATATTAGTCTCCCTAATCGATAAGCATGAAATTTTTCAGAGAGGATTAACATCAGCAACTAGTAAAAATAACAGTTATCATTTATTGAGTAACTGGTGTGTTTTTTCTTCCCACCAGTGTAGGTACAGATTCTAGGACTTGCCCAGTTTTCTAATGAAGAAACTGAGACCCTCCGAGCTTTAACAGTATTTAGTTCATCTTACAGATAGTCATAGTGTACGGATTGTTTTAGCTGAAAGGCATCCATTTGTGAGTGCCTCTTCTATAAGTTTCTTGGCAATTTGAAATTGGAGCAATTTCTTATAACTCTGTGTAGAGTATTTGCCTTAAACCTGTCATATGTATGTATGCACATATGTAAATGCTGATCAGCTTTTCATAAATTAGCTGTTTTGAAATCCTTCAAATTGGTAGGCAGCACTTTAAAAAAATAAAATAAAAAACTTGATCCAAGTATCAAACATGAGTGGCTTGATTTCTCTGGCTTTAAGGAAGCAAATCAACTCAGCGAGCTATTTCTAGAATTTGAAGTGAGCAGTAATAAAACAATTGCATGAGTTTTGTACGCATATGTACATGCTGATAAATCTAATAACAGCTACATATTACCACTACTTTGAGACTAGTAAAATACTGATACACATTTTTTCATAATCAGAATGTTAGGTATGTATTGTGAGCTGATGTGTTGTTCAGAGATGTTGGCAAAGCAACGGACTGAACAGTGAATAAAAGTCCTGGATACATTGGATACATTGGATACATTGAGCTCTTTTGCTCTTTAGTGTGGCCCCTTTATTTTGCCATGTAGCATGTTGTGTGCCTACAAGGACTTTTTCTTTTTTTATGGCATTACTGGTATTTGAACTCAGGGCTTAGTGCTTGCCAGACAGGTGTTCTACCACTTGAACCATGCCTCTAGCCCTTTTTGCTCTGATTATTTTAGAGATAGGGTCCTGCTTTCTGCCCAGGCCAGCCTGGCTATAATCCTATTTAGGCTTCCTTCTGTGGCTGTGATAGCAGGCACATACCACCATGCCCAGCTTTTTTCTGTTGAGATTGGATCTTTACAAACTTTTTGCCCAGGCTGACCTCAAACCTTGATCCTCCTGATCTCAGCCTGCTAAGATTACTAGCATGAACGGTGCCTGGCTAAGAACTTGTGTTTAAAGATATCAAGTATGAGCAAAAATAAGAATTTATGTTTTATTTATATGACCCAACTTGATTCTGTAAAATTTTTTAGCTCTAGTTATTGCTGTTTTTGGATTACTTGAACCATTAGCTTATCGGCATTAATTCCCCCCCAGCAGTATTATCAGTTAGAAAGAAACTGTGTCTATCTGTCAAAATGGTTCTCAGACAGAATGTACATTTGATTGGTTTGAAGTACAATGAAAGTAATTTGTTACTAATAATTCAAACAGTAAGTTTGCTAGTTATTTACTTTCTAAAAAAAATTCCTATAATAGTATCCTGTTAGTATCACTTTCATGTATGAAGGAGAAGTATAATTAAGGGTCTTTTGTCAAGAAGTTGTATAATTCTCTCCTGCGGGAGAATACCTCATGTCTTTGGTTACATACAGAAAAATGTTCAAGTGCTATCATTTCACATCTTTACCCCTTCCCACATTTTTCTTACAGGAACTTTCCCAGTTAATCAATCTTTGGGCAGACAGGTTCTGTGCTCTGGAGGAAAAGTGTGAAAACATCCAGAAACCACTTAGTTGTGCTCAAGAAGATACGAAGCAGTAAGTTACTCTTAAAGTTTTTAACCATTTCTGTAAGTCTAAAGTTATTTCAGAAGAAAAAGTTTCAAATTATATAAATCTTGTATGCATACAACCAAATTTCTTGTTTAACATTTTATTGTGTGTTTATATTTATATATGCATCTCTATATATTTGTGCACATAAATGTTTTTCTTCTTTTTTTCTTTTGAGCTCGAGTCTCGCTGTGTAGACAAAGGTGGCCCTCAAACTGCCTCCTAAGTGCTAGGATTACAGTCTGACTTACGTATTTTTCTATATTATATTTGTCCTTCCTTTTCAGGTAGTGAGAAATCTAGCTCTCATCCACAATATAGTTTCTTATTTCTTAAATTTTAGAATGTACATAAAGACCTTGGAATCTACGTCACTGATGAGAAATACACTTACTAAGTAGAGCAGGGTTTGGCAAACTGTCTGGTGGGCTGGATACCTATAATTTAAGTAATTTTATTGAGGGATAAGAAAGAGCAACAGGGGGAAAATTTAATCAGAGTGTATTATATGCATGTCTGGAAATATCAAACGAAATTGCTTTGTGCAATTAATATACACTAATAATAATGAGTAAATAAGCAATTTTATTAGACACAGCCATCCCTTTTTGTGTACATGCTGCCTTTATCTTATTGACATAACTTTCTTATGCTTCCTTTTAGTTTTTCTAGGATTCACAACATATACTTTTTAATAATTTGAATACATCAAATAATCTGCTGTTTCATGTATAATAAAAGGACTGTTTAAGCTGGTGGGGAATGCCTATAATCCTGGCTGCTTGGGAGACTGAGATCGGGAGGCTCGATGTTTGAGGCCAGCAAATATTTCACGAGACCCCATCTCCAACATAGCTAGAGCAAATAGAGATTATCATTTCCTCTTCTCATGTCTCTATCATTGTTTTCCTTTTGTACTTTGCCACTTGAGCTATGCCTTTAGCCTTTTTTTTGCTGTAGTTATTTTTTGCGTAGGGTCTTGGATTTTTCCCACAATCCTACCTATTCCTTCCATGTGGCTGAAATTACAGTATGTACCATCACACTTGGCTTGTTGGTTGAAATGTCTCTCACTAACTTTTTGCTTGGGCTGGCCTCAAACTGCTATCCTCCTGATCTCCACGTTGCAAGGCTAGGATTACAGATATGTACCACAATGCCTGGCCTTCCTAGGTTCTTTTTAATATGACTACTTAGAAAATTTTAGATCACACATGGGGAATAGAGCTGCTCTAGAATTCTGTTGCTTATCCTTACACTTCATTTCTGTCATCTGTTCTCAACCCTGTTGGTGATACTGTTCAACATACTCTGTTCCATTTTGAACTCTTCGTAGATTTTGAATCTAAAAATTATTTCTTTACTTTTTATTCCTAGTGTCTTGACTGGTGTAGTTCTAGCCCCTGCAGTATAGCTTTTGAGGGGACAATAGAGTAGGATTGAAGTGGGAGGTCTATGGAAGTGTTTTCCCGCTTTCCTGCCATTTATTGTCTACTGCACTATTTGTCAGTATGTCCAGGGACTCTTATCAGAATCACCCAGCAATCTAGTGATGTATGTTCCCTGAAAATAACTGCCTTTGACATTTTTGTCATAGATTGTAGTCACTCTTCTTCCCAGTAGGTTGGGAGTTACTTGAGGCAATACATTTATATCGATAGTCTCCAGTTTAACACTTAATTTAGCTCCATTTTTTAGACATTTCCACTTAACTTTGTTTTCAACATCTTTGCTTTCTCTATTGGCTTACTCGTGTAGTATGTAGAGGATAACTTTCATTCCCAAGGGTCAGCTCTGTTCCTGTGAGATGTCTTTGAATGCTATTGTAGAGTAACTTACTGAGAAGAGTAATGTATCAGTGAATTTTAAGTGTATATTCTGATATTAGTTTCATATCAAGTTTACATTATATTATACAACATGTATAACTGTTTGCTGGTGCTGGGAATTGAATCCGGGGCCTTGCACATGCTAGGCAAACACTTTCCCACCAGGCTATATCTCCAGCCCGTTATAGTTGATTTTTAAAATAACATTTATAGCCAGGCTCTGTGGCTCACGCCTGTAATCCTAACTATTCAGGAGGCAGAGATCAGGAGAATCACGGTTTGAAGCCAGCCTTGGCAAATAGTTTGTGAGACCCTATCTTGAAAAAACCCATCACAAAAAGGGCTGGTGGAGTGGCTTAAGGTATAAATCCTGCATTCAAATCCCAGTATCGCAGAAAAAAAAAAAAAGATTAAAAAAAATTTATAATGTTAATAGTATATTTTATGTCACAGGTAAGGGAGAGTGCTTAGTAACAGTGATTGGCCAATTTAGAGACTAGAACAGAAGCTATGAGAGGTTCCCTTGATGAACACAATCTAGTAAAAGGAACAAAAGTAGAGAATTTCATTTTAATGCCTGTATAGTTCTATAAAGAATATAGAGACGAACACCATATCTAAGAAGGCCGGGAAGGTAAGGTCACTCAAAGTCAGCTGGAAAATACAGGGATCAAAAATCCCCTCTTGGCTTAGAAGACTGGTTATGAGTGTGGCTCTGGAGCCGCACGGCCTGCACCAAGTCTGCCACTTGAGCACTGAGTGTCCTGGGAAGGTGTGCATCCTTTGAATTTTAGTTTCCCAGTTTAACAGTGTTATTCTCTTTTCCTACAGGAAATCTAAAGATATAATCGACAAAACAACTTTCCACAGTACAAAAATGTTTGCTGTTTCTGATGGCTTGGCACAAGAACTCAGAAATTTTAACCAAGAAGGCACCAAACTGGTTCAAGACTCTATGAAATACTGTAATACCCTCAACAGTAACCTGGAAACTGTATCTCAAGAGACGGAACAGAGATTTAAGTCTCTGAATTTGAGCACAGCTTGTTTTTCTGAACAGTGGACGTCTTGCTTAAATAAAAGGGAAGAGGAACTTCAGAACTTATTGGAGGTAATGACTTTGTACTTGGAACCTACTTTAGGGAAAGTAGCTATAATCAGGAAATTAGGTGTTCTTCACTTAGAATTGGTTTCAACACACATTTTTTAAGATATGGGTGAGTTAAACATTTAAGTACAGTACTTCATATGCTTACATGTGCTTTTTCATGCCTTGGATAGATATATGTTAATTACATATGATTTCTGATCTGCATCCTTGGTTTTGAGATGTTCATTTCTTTGGGGAGGGGCACTCTTCTCTTGACATATAATATATTCCATTTATATTACTTTTCTCCAGGTACTTTAAATTTTCTTTAAGTATTTAAGGTAATGTTCTGGTGGCTCAAAGGATATATAAGTTTGTGGGTTTGCTTAAACATAACATTTGGCATTTCATTTTTCCTTTCTGTACAAAAAAAGGAATTTTTACTACATTAGAAAGTAAGTACAAAGAATTGAAGTGTTTTTAAGCTATCTAAGCAGCCTGGAGAGAAATTAGGGAAGTAGCTAATTTCAGATTTGAGGCAAAAAAAAATGTGCAAGATTACAAAAGAGTGCTTGCTATACCAGAAAGTAAGGAAACAAAGATTCCTGAAGTTGGGTCAAAAGGACTCAGTAGCTTACCTGATATCACTGTTCCTGCTCACAGGGGCTATAATTTTAGCATCAAAAAGAACAGTGGTAGCTGGGTGAGACTGGGTATGCCTTTAATCCTAGCACGCAGGAGACTGAGGCAGGATTTTGAGTTCAAGGCCAGCCTAGGCCACATAGTAACATCCTGTCTTCCCAAAAAAGACAAATTGAATAGACAAAATAAAAAGAATAATGGCTACACATAGATTAAAACATACCAAATATATATGTGTATATATATATATATATATATATATATATATATA